GGAAGGGAGGGACAGATATACAATGTAAGCCACACATAACAATATCCCAGGGGAGCGGGGAATTAATAGAATAAACCTCTTAAATCATCCCTGAATTATTTAGACATTTGTAATACAGAAATAATTCCTTCCCAGTTCCAGGCCCAACTGTAACTTCCTCCTATGACTACCATGATTTTACCATCTCACTCAGCAGTACAATTTCAGAAGAAAAAGCTTAACAGTTTCTCCAATGAAGTGGAGAGGTGGACAACAGATCAAGAGGATGTTCAATCCTGCAGAGCCAACTGGTCCATCAGTTTATTTGAAATATTAGCATCTCCTCAATATTTGAAATATTAGTATCTCCATGAGCAAAATGGGTTAAATCAGGAAACATAATTCTGGTATGCACTGAAGTAATCAAAATCCTGAGAGAATTACGGCATGAAGAGAAATACTGTAAAAGCCTTGAAACTTGAAGAGTAAAAGCAACCCTTGCGCAAGCTTTTTGTTACCTTCTGTAGAACAAAAATCACAGTCATAGTTGGCCCAAAGTTTCTTAAATTGCTGCTAATAAAGACAGTCATGGTAATTCAGGGATAAAGCTCACCTTTAACTACTTCAAGGTACCACTTTTTATTACCTGCTATTTACAGAATGGCAGGCAGCCAATAAAATTCTCAGTAGAACCCTACATTCTCACATAGCTTTCAAGTCATCTTATTTTCAATCTCTGAATAGCACATGCATTGCTAAATTAGTTTCTCCCTTCCTTCAACTGGAAATGTATTGTATCAGTCTTCCTGAGTGTTTAAAAATTAACATTAAAATCCCTATTAAGATTCTTTTAAGTAAAAGGTAAGCACACACAGCATTGAATCACAATAATGGAGTTATTCACGTATCTATTTTCAACAGCTATGTTTGGAACAAAAGCAGCCTGGACGCAGAAAATATACAGAAGTTAGATACAGTCAGGTGGAACAGCAGAGATGCACCTTTCCTCTTTCAGCACTACACATAAAAAAAAAAAGTCTTTAAGACATTAAGCTTAGGAGGGATATGCTCAGTAAATAAGGCTGATTTATTAAACATAAGTAGCACCATTGCCACATGATAGCTTTTGATTTACACCGCTTTTAATTCACAGCTAGCAATTAAGTTTATCAGTTCCCTTTTGGTCCAGGTCATAATGGTACAGATTTTAGATGGCATGTAATGGAAAATGTCATTGCACTGCTGTTTAACCTCCCATGAGGAGGCAAAAGAAAACAATGGGTGAAACTGAAATATAATGTCCCAATGATTGAGATTCTGAAGAGCAGATAGCTAAACGTGAAAAAAGTACATCAGAAGTAAGAAGCTCATGAGATTCAGGAGCTTGCTGAAAAAGGACTCAAAGCTGAAGATTCTGCAGAAAGGCTAAACGATTTCTTAAACTTCATTGTTTACTGAGGAATTATTTACCCAAGATATACACTTTTGAGGTGAAGAAGAAATACTGTCAGACTGCAGTATCAATAGAGGACATGCTGGAAGAAAATGATCATCAGAGCAGCAAGTCAGCAACACCAGATGGTTGTGTTCTAACAGGATTTTAATACAGTGGCAAGATTTAATGACTACATCTTATCAGTACAGACACCTGACGGTGTCTTGATAGCCAGAGGGCAGAAAACATTGCCAGAAGCACCAGAGGCAATTTGGGGAATCACAGGCGTACCACCTTTATTTCATGTTTAGGTTTTCATACAAAATATGTCAGAACAAAACATAGACAGGAATGTACCTTCTCTGCAGCTAAACAACAATGGTATTTTGTTCATTAAAGCACCAGAATGTGCTATAATCTCTGAGATTGACTCATTGTATTAGCAAGTAATACTTGTAACTAAACTGCAAGACAAACACATTGTTACTGCAAATATAAGCTGTAGTTCCTACTGTAACAACACCCAAACTACATTTTGCTGTAAAATTGTTTTCATTTCATTTAATCCTGATATTTACGTATATACACAGATACACAAGCACAAAGACTCATACACATGTAAAGGCAACTTTTTATCGCATGTATGAAGGAAAAAGGATATTACATGTAAAGGTTGTGTATCTTTTCAGCAGAATGGTAACCTAGCACTTCTACCTTTAGATTGCATTCTGAATTAAAAAAAAAAAAACACTGCCAGATAATATTTTATGCAAAGAGGAATTCTATTGAAAGTTATTTTATGAACTTCCTGACAGCAAAAATACTCAGTGAATGAAATCTATGTTCAAAGCCTCTTTCCATCACATAATTTCTATCATAAAAGAAAAAACAAACATGAGACCAGCAAAAGTTTCTGCACTCCTCATGTAATCCTATGTACAAACTATACTAATAATCAACTTAAGTAGTGCATGCTACCTTCACATCAAAGAACTTGAGAATACAGTTTGCCACTAAAGCTTACAATTCTCCACCTCTCTTATTAAAGATGATCAGATTCTGATGAATATACTTCAACAACAGAGTGTAACCCTGCAGTGAGCCAAGGAGCACTGGCATGTTGCACATAGAATGTATTTCAGATGCAGTAACCTGAACAGAAATCTACAACAAAAAAATTGTCCCACCATACTGCACTTAAAATTAATTCAAGATCTACTCAGTTAATACCAGTACTTTCTTTTAACACCACTATCACTACAACATATGAAGGGTGCCTTAAGGGAGCCATGACTCAATCCTTGAACACTTTTTACAGGTCCTACCTAACACTGCACTACAATCACCAAGGAACTGGAAGCTCAAACTCATTAAGGATTCAAGGTGAGAAAAATAAATAATCAAGCCATCCACTTCTACACTGGACACAGCTTCTGAACAGCCTTTTATGTAGTATGAAGCAGATATAAAAATGAGAAGCAAGAGATCACCCTCAGCCATTTGTATTATTACAGAACAAAAAAAACCTGATGCAGCCAGAATATTAATAGTGCAATATGAGGAAAGCTGTTTTGGAGGAAGAGGGGAAAAGGATCTCTGAACAAGCTGTACCCATTCTGGGATTCAACAAAATATTCAAAAGTGATAGTTTTCACAGACTCACAGATGCTAGAAACTAGATCTTCCTTACAAATAGCTTGTTACCAGTTAAGTGGCAGAAAGCTTATTTTATGCTAATAGCCTTTTTTCTGCTTTCTTTAAGTCAGAAGCTTGGCCTATTTTGAAACTATTGTACCTTGAACCTGTTTTACTCTCACATTACTACACGACACATACAGCGAAGACTAATACATAATGGTACATACTCAAAAATATATTTCCGGAAAAATCAACTTAAACCATTGACCAATGTTTAATAGGTAAGGCAGTAAAGTGAAAATTAGTATGTTTTATGTATAAACTCAAACTCTCTTAGACTCTGTCCAGAACCTTGCTTCTGGCAGATACCTGAATGATTACAGTATCATGGTCTATCAATGAAGAATACGTGAACAGGACCATTCCCTATATAAAACATTGTCTTGTACTGTGCACCAGTGGCCAATATCCAAGTAAACATAGCCTCTTTCATTAGTAGTCACAGAGGACTCTTAGCTTGAATATTTGTCATTAATTAAGAAGCAACATAAATTAACACTATATTATAGTCAGAAGAATCTATGAAACATAAAAGTAGATGCCATCCCAGTGTGCAGTATGCTTTGAAGTGGGAACTTCATTCCAAAAGTTGCAGTTCAGAAAAAAGCAAGATCCTTTAATTCTGCTAGATAGTGTTATACTCCCACCTGCAAAAGGAACTGTAAATATTACAGTAAAGCTACATTAATTGTTCTGATCTTGTATAATTAGGCTTGTAAATCACCAATATTTTGTCTAAGTAGTATTTTTCCTGTCTAACCACTACAGCTAACTCTACAGAAGCCATCTCATATACTCGCTATATACCTTTCACTCAACACAATAGCTTTATTTTTTTCCCCTTCCATTTTCTATTTTTCAGCCAGATTCAAACACAGTTCAGCACTGGGATAAAACTGTCTACAGTATTACAGCCCTGCAAACAGCCAAGGTGAAGCAGGAAGACAGCAAAGGCAAATGCAATGATGACAATGTGTTTGCTTAACTGAAGGCATGGACATAAAAGATTCAGGCCTTTACCTCATACAATCCACCTCAGATACATTCCAATGCCTAACAAGCAATCTGTTACTATATTGAAATATCCTGGTGTAATGAACTTAGTAATCGGTGAAAGTGAGAACAGTCACCTCTTATGCTTTAGGTTTGTTTCCACTTGGTTTGGTTCTATTTGATAAATTAATGACAAACTTCTGAATAAACTTGATTTTCCTGCCAAATTCAAACTGGTTTTCTTGCTTTTAATTCTGGCTTGATGTACTATACCCTGACTTTGTATCTCTAGAAAGCTCACTGTCATTATAGGTGGCTGTTACCCAAAACGAAAGAAACCATTTTCCTCTGAGAATCAATATAAAATTTCAGGCTGGCTTTGGAATACTTCCCTTGATCTTGTTATAGATTTTTGTTTCCAGGTGAGCTTATTGCAGCTTCTTCTACTCAAAGAAAAACTTGGTGGCATATTGCTTCCAAACCAGTATCAAGTTTCAGAGTAACAGTTAACAACTTCAGGAGCCAAGAGAAACAACCTTTAGGTCAACTGCATGAACCCCCAGAATGATACAAAGCGTAAGAGAATACTGCAGAACATTTTAACACACAGATGGCAAACTGCATATACAAACGCAGATACTGGAAAGAGGGAACACAAATAATTTTCCCACAGAAGATCTGACAGGAAAATTGTGCTATCTATCTGCACTTTTCTACAGGGAAGAGAAGTTACAGGTCTAACTCTAACTACTGAGCCACTATTTTCAAGTGCAGATTTATCACTTTTGCCATTTCTTTGAAACACATCCGTATTTCTAAACAAGAATACTCGTAAATTTCTGAGGTTTGTGAGAATATATCAAATGTAAGTATTTACTATCCAGAGAAGTCTTACCTGCTACCAACGATTGGCTCCCCAGAGGCTCCCAAAGCAGAATAGTCCATGCCATAGAAATTCAGCCCTAAAAGTATTTTATTCCTCCATCTTGAATCAGGATCCAGTACTTGAACACAGGCTCGTACCCACGGAAGAGGGGAATTTGGACCAGGTCTGTCAAGTTAGCAAAAACCAAACAGGTTGTCAGAAAAAGTACACATTCATTCTTGGCCTTCTCTTTTTGCCTAGTGTAATTGTAAAGAGCGAACTACAGCACACAAAAATCTACAGCCTGTGAAGGTTAAATGCACATTCTCTAGTGACTTGAAGTACTGACGTACAAAAACATGCTTGCCTCACTCTTGACTTTGTGATTCACTTCCAAAGTGAAGGGACACAAAACATCTTACAGTGGGTAAGAAAAGGTTTCCACCTAGCACATTTTCTTTGTCACTGGGCCAGGCAGAATGCTTGCATAGTAATTCACAACTCCGTATGACTTCAGCTTTTTTCCAATAACATTCTCAATGTTTTTACTGTAAACTGGCACAACATACTGGGACAAGATCCACCATTTATTTACAGAAAGAACTATAAAAGCAGTGATTTGGTTTCAATAATTGTTTTAAGGCTTACTTATGGACAAAACCCTAAAGAGGCAACTACCCAACAAAAACCTACATTAAGAAAAAGAGTAGAACCTTAATTCACAGAGTAACTGAATTGTCCTACATACAGCATCAAGACATGGTGCTCTTTCCACTCCTCTCTCATCAAAGAGGAGAGCAGACTTTAACACAAACACTCACTAACATGATAAAAGGCACTCAAATAATAAAAGGAAAACCATATTCTAGTTTTACAAATATCAACATGTACTCCCTTCTAAGTACCTGCCTCAGAGCCTTCAGGATATCTGTGCCATTAAAACTCAATCTGCTAATACAGTCAGGAATGTTGCTGGAAATTGTGTTCATATTTGAAGGCAAAAGGATTGTGAGAAAAGAGTATGTATGATCCTGTATTTCATATACTCAGACCAATCAAAGCAAATTCAAGCAAAAAAGATTTTTTTCTTTTTCTTTTTATCAAATCCTTTCTCAGATTAAAAGCATTACATCTCATAAACTATATTTATTTCAAATACAATGGGTGTGAACTGAAGAATGCTTCCCTCCTCCTTTCAAGTAAAAAAGATTAGCAACTCCAAGCCAGGTCTGAGTAATTTAAAGCACCAGTGAAGGTGTAAAGACGTGACTGTACCACAAGCTGTGATTTTAACGTGCCACAAACCATGGTGTGATAAGTGAGTTTGTTCATCAAAAGGTTTAAGGGGTATGTTGCTTGTTATACTTTAAGAAACTCTTTGTAACTGTTGTTTGTGAAACATCTTTTTCTTTGTGAAGGGAGAGGGAAAGTCAATTGTACTATTATGGAAAGTATGCTTTATTAAAGTAGGATAAATGCTTTTAGAGAAGGAAAAGGAAGGGGGGCTGGGTGGTTCGACTCGGTGTCTTGTTGCAGAATGTTGTAAAGCTTATAACCATATAAAGAATGGAGGTTGAGGGAGTGGTTAGCCTAATAAGAGAAACTTCTTGAAACTCCTCGAAACTTCTCGAAGCTTCTTGAAACTTCTCGATGGTGAAACCCCAGCAACGAAAAGGAACCAATGGAAAGGAGATCTGGGCAAAAGAGATAACGGGATAGGCTGAAGCCAAA